TTGAACCACCAACCTTCTGGTTAGCAGTCAAGTGCCTTAGGTGCTGTGCTACCAGAGCTCCTTTTAATAGGGCTAGAAGTATCCAAAGATGACTGCTGGTATTTGAACATTGTCAGGAACATTATGGAGAAGGCAGTACAATTCCTCCTCTAGCAAGAGATATCAGAGCTATGGTCCTTTTTTCAAAGTTGCCTGAAGGAAAGTGCAGATAACCCATCTGCAGTTTGGAAGAAAATCCCACATGTATATACTGCTTTTCCATGACTTTGCAAATCATCTTTTTCTTTCCCCTCACTAGATTTCTCCCCTTCTCTCATTAGCATCTTGCCCCAGATGGCATTTCACTCCGTATTTAAAGTTTGCACTCTAAAAATGGTCTTTTCTGAACGTACAGGAGCTTTAAGGTTCAAGGTCACACTTAACTTTGGCTCTGATTCCTTTGGTACTTAGCTGCTTATGCAGGTAAACACAAGTGGCTAACATAATGCTGTTTATATCTAGTTTGTCTTGCCATTATGTTGAACAGAGAAAAGATACAGGAACTGACTCTCTTTGATTTTTCTGCAAGTGTATACAGAGTATTTAAAGTGTGTCTTAGATTGATCAATAAAATCATATTTCTAGCTTTCTCTCAAATCAAGTTTCTGAGTATTTTTAACATTTCTCTTCTTTTAGGTGGGCGTAGTCAAACTCTCCATATGACCTTTCAGGTGCAAGAAATAATTCCTTTGCAAAAAAAATACCCCAAATACCATTAAAATCTAATCCCCTTGAGAGAAGAATAAAAAATAAATAAAACCCATGGCTATCAAGTCAATTCCAACTCATAGCAACCCTACAGGACAGAGTATAACTACCCCATAGGGTTTCCAGGGAGCTCTGGTGGCATAGCGCCTAAGGCATTTGACTGCTAACCGGAAGACTGGCAGTTCAAACCCACCAGCCGCTCCTCGGAAGGTAGATCGGGCAATCTACTTCCATAGTGATACTGCCTTGGAAATCCAAGGTGGGGTTGCTATGAGTCAGAATCGACTCGACGGCAGTGAGCAGCTGATAGGGTTTCCAAAATTGTAAATCTTTACAGAAGCAGACTGCCTCATCTTTCTCCCACGGAGTGGCTAGTAGGTTTGAACCACCAGCCTTTTGGTTAGTAGCTGAATGCCATAACTACTGTGCAACCAGAGCTCCTAGAGAGGAGAGTCAGAGTTATATATATTAATGTGGGACAGGCAGTTCATCTGTGTTTAGAATCCATACGGTGATAAGCAGCATTAAAATCTACAAAAGTAGATTTTAAATGACCCTGAGTGACTTGATAAATAAGCAGACAAAAACAAAATGGATTTTAATTGATATGAATATAAAATCCAAGACCAAACCCCTTGCTGTCAAGTTGATTCCAATTTATGGGGACCCTGTGGAATAGAATAGAACTGCCCCACAGAGTTTCCAGGGCTTTAAGTCTTTATAGAAGCATACTGTCACATCTTTCTACCTCAAAGCAGACAGTGGGTTCAAACTGCTGACCTTTCGATTAGCAGCCCAGTGCTTACCCACTGCACCAACAGGGCTCCTTGATATGAACACAAATGCACTAAATCAAAGAACTTGTGCAGACACAGGTCAGGATTTTGTCTGAGGATGGCAAAAAATCACGTATCTATGGGTATAGTTGATTGAAAGTTAAATGTGAATTAAATACTTTAAATAGAGAACAACTTTTTAAAGCTAGCATGATGCTATAACTATTGACACGAATAGCACTTTACATTAAGCAGTCAAGCACTTGCTGTATGCCAGCACTGATCTAAGCCCTTTACATAACTCATTTACCTGCTAGAGAACAGGATTATAGGACACACAGGTAGTCTTACCTCTTTAGGTCAGCTGAACCTCAAACAGTAGCCTATTGGTGGCCTATCCTACCAGCTCAGGTGCCAGGTTCCTGAAGTGGGGGAGGGAAGCCACCCCTTGCAGCTCCACCTGTGGTAATGTTTCATCTGGTCTCTGTGTTTGGTGAGCCTTGTTGGAACAAGAGCTATCTCTTAGAATATCCATACATGCTTATTAATGTCATAATACAATGGGTAGAAGAGATATGTTTTTATTTATTTGAGCAGCAACATTTATATTTGACTTGTGTTTTGAACTGTTTTAGTAATACTTATTGGAGGCCTACATATATACATTGGAATAAGTTGTAAAAATTATACTCTTTTGGTAGGAAAAATGAACATCACTTAACTATGCAGTTTTCTAATTTGAACCCACATTTACAGACTGGAATTGTATTTTAGTACATTTAAATGAAATGGTCAAACATTATCATTTCTATAGAGCAGACTTTTTTTGTTTTTTTAAACTTTTAGTGTTCTAAAACAGTGTCAATAAGATGAATTTAATATTCTATAAGATGAATTTAATATTCTATTGTGAGCAATAATTGTGTAGAAATAACAAAAGTTATTTTCCTGGCTTTTAGATGTGTCGTTTTTAACAACAGAGGAGTGGCAGGGGAGAATCTTTTGGTAAGTAAATCTAAATAAATGGTAACAGTCTTCATTTTCAGTTTTAAAATAAAAAGCATAAGC